CTTTGCTGTGCTGCTCCGCATGGGCTGAACCCAGGGGCAACTCTCCTCCTGAGGGGCTATAGATGAGGGGGCTGTGGGCGGAGGCGGTGCTGGGGTGGCAGCGCGCGTGCCCACAGAGAGGGCTCTGAGTGCCACCTCTGGCATGCGTGCCATAGGTTCCCCACCACTGAAATATGTGATACTAGAAATATCATTATGTATACCCAAAAAAATCCTCTATAGATCACTAGTAGTGATTTCGAAATGTATATTTTAGTCAACTTTCACAATTATCGCAATTTTTAAAACTATGATTTATTTAACAAGAAGAATGCATTGTTCAATAAATCAGAAAACCTTATATACCTAATCAAAAACAACTTCTGCAAGTTTTACTAACAGTTGGCTGTCTAATCTCTGCTTGAACTCATCCAGGAATGAGAGTAAATGAGCATAATTCCAATTGTAGCATAGTCACAAGCAACACATATATTGGAACTCATTGATATGAGGGACAGACATGAACTCTTTTCTTCTCATTTTCTTAAACAACCTGAAAATAAATTTCTTACAACTTTAAAACTGCCAAGTAGGCCTAAAGTAAAAACTTTTCTGGACCATTTTTAGGCCCAGATCTTTCAAATACCTTCAGTAATGGAGAGCTCAGCATTCACTAGGTCGTTTAACTGGCCTTATGTTTTTATTATTATTATTCCACCTAACATTCAACCAAAAGTCACTTTATGTCGCTAAATCTATTATTTTTTGTAGATTCACACATTGTATATCGAAAAGAATGCACAGTTTGAATTAGCATAATCCCACATTATATTCCACTGCAACAATAAGACCTTATTTTATCATAAGGGAAGATAATCTATGGTTCTCCAAATAGATGGATTCCAACTTCCATCATCCTTGATCATTGGTGATATTGATTGGGCTGATTAGTATTTGGGATTCAACAATATTTTGAAAGATAAACATTCTCTATTTTAGTGATACAGGAGGCAAATAAAAGGTATTTTGAAAGTTATTCCTGTCATGCCTTATTCTCAGAACTTCAGAGAAGGTAAGATAGGCAGTAATATCCTAAATCAGTGATGGCAAACCTATGGCACGCGTGCCAAAGGCGGCACTCAGAGCCCTCTCTGTGGGCACACCTGCTGCCGCCACTGCCAGCTTGCGCAGGTCCATTAGGCCACTACTGGTGCCCGGAGCAGCAGCCCCACCCAGCACAAAGGAGGCAAAGCAGCTGGCTAGCAAGCTCGAGTAGAAGTGGTAAAGCGTGCCTCCCATGCACTCGCTGGCCTCTGTGTGCGGGGGCTGATAGTGTCAGGCAGCAGCCGCCCCGCCTCGCCTTACCCCACAGCAATGGCACCCCCACCCTACCCCTGCCTCACCCCACAGGACAAGCCTCCTGCCCACCGCCCCACCCACCAGAGACCTCCTGGATCTCCCCCAATCCTGCCCAGCTCCCAGAGACGTCCCCCCACGAGCAACATCAAGGTGGCCACGCCCACCCCTGGCCATGCCCACACAATCTGCTGTGACCACCACAGCCACGCCCACCCAGTGGGCCACCCCCTCACCTCCCCTGAGGGCACCACAATGCTGATGCGGCCCTGGCACTTTGCGATAAATAAGTGGGGTTTGGGTTGCGGTTTTGGGCACTCGGTCTCTAAAAGGCTCGCCATCACTGTCCTAAATAAAGCATGGTTAAAATGTTTTTTAAAATGTCTAATTTGACATTTTAAAAAAGCAATGCTTTTTCTGAGAAGATCACAGATGTAGTATTATTTATAACTAGCTTCTATAACAACAGAATGCTAATATCCCCTGGATGCTGCAACTGACATAAATAGATGCCGGTTGCCAAGCACCTGAATTTTGATCATATAACCAGAGGGATGCTGCAATGGTCATAAGTACGAGGACTGGTTGTAAGTCATTTTTTTCAGTGGCGTTGTAAGTTCAAGTGGTCATTAAACAAAAGTTGTAAGTCAAGGATTACCTGTACCTAAAAAGTTATGTTACATACATTAATTGAAGAAATTCACCTTCTCAAATTGTTGCTGGGAGAGAAGCACAGGACTGTTAGACTGGGGGCTCTTATTGAACGAAGGGCTGTATTTGTCAGCATTTTGCCATTCAGGATACTTCCTTTCTCCTTGATTATTGTGATAAGCACAGGCTCGGCGGATACGATCCGCTCCCAGACTAACAGCTGTCCGTCCACACATTCTTCCAGAGTGCACCCAAAACAGTGGCCTACAAAACAGTGTTTTAGGAATATACTACTGTACCCTGTTGTGTCATCATTTCAGAGATATTTACTTAACTAGACCAATCAACCAAATCGCCATGGATGAGCAAAAGGGCAGTGAGAGAGGGAGCAACTTCTGACTTCCTGCTGGCCTCCTTTTTAACTTTGCTTGGGGGATGCTTGTAGGGGAAAAGTCAATGGGGAAGCCCGCAGGGAAGGTCGCAAATTGATCATATTTATCTGGAAATCAATTCACTTCCTACATTTCTAATTATTACTATTATTAATTAAACTTGTATACCGCCCAACTTTCAATAACTCTAGGCAGCTCACAGCAGTCAAAGAAATTACAATAAAATTAATAAAGCAGAAAAAAAATGAAGCTATGAGATGGCCAAGACTGATAAAGTGAAGGGTCTCACTCTCCCTTGCTGAAGCCCGGCGGGAGAAAACTACTTTTTATGCTGCAATTCTTTAGTCTTGCTGCTTCGTTAGACTTTTCCTGATTTTGCTAAATTCCAGTGATTAATAACTGAATAACGAGCTGTCAAGTAAAAGTAGCATGGCATTTTTTTTTCAATACAAATAGATGAAATAACACCCTCCGTAAGTGTCAGACAGGCTTTAATTTTTCTTTCTTGCTAATCTGCACCCTGAAAAAAATCGACTTGTCTGAAAAGGCCAATTTTGCTAGAGATCCCTTTTCTCTAACTTCTACAGGCAAGACCAATTAAATCATTAATTCAGCTTCTCCGTGGATCCCTTATGTCCTCTGGTCCACCGTTAAACCTCCTCTCTTTCAAAAAAAAGAGGAACTTTATGCAGGCAATAAATAAATCGGCAGACATCAGAAAGTTCGGAAGAGATGCTCCTTCAGCACCGTCAGCTTTTCCTTCCTTCTCCCTTCCTGGTTCGGGCGCCAAAAGGAGCCTAAGCAGCCCTTGTAAGAAAGCTAGCAAATAAAGGGACGAGGCCGTTTTCCTACCGGAGATTCCCAGGTTTAAGAGGAAGGGATTTCGGGCTTACCAGGATCCAGTGTTTCTCAACCTTGACAATTTTAAGGCATGTGGACTTCAACTCCCAGAATTCCACAGCCAGCATTGCTGGCTGTGGAATTCTGGGAGTTGAAGTCCACATGCCTTAAAATTGTCAAGGTTGAGAAACACTGATTACAAAAGGCTTCCCTAGCACGTCAGAAATCATTTCCGCATCCCCACCGCCGCCGCCCCTTTCAGCCTCCCGGATTCAATCCTGACCAGGGAAAACCTCTTTTGATGAGGACACAGGCGCCTCCTCCCCTCGGGTTTTCCCGCCTTCCAGCGCTCCTCTCCCTCGGCTTCTGGCAGGTCGATCGGGCCTGGGGGTTCCTGTTTGTGGCTCCGCTTGTTTTTCAAAACGCCGCCTCGGAAGTTACCCGCTCCGCGGTTGGCAACCCATTTCTTTCCCCCCTCCTCCACCTCCCCTCCTCCACCCCCGCGCCTCTGAAGCGCAGCGAGGCCTCCGCCCCCTCGCGAAGACGCGCGTTCTCCCGGACGGTGGTGCGCGCGTCTTCCAGGTCTTCCTCCCGGAAACTTTATTTTTTAATGTCAAACGAGGTTGAACGGCGCTGCCAGTTTTCTCTGGCCTGCCTCCACCGCTCCGGCTCCAAAAGCAAAATTGAATTCCCAAATTGAATTCTAGAAATCAGAATTTGAATCTATAAGGTGGAGATTGTGCGTGGTGGTGGTGGTGGTGGAATTACTGTTCAAAAATCAAGACAGGAGGATTCTTCTACAATCACATATAAACATAAATCTACTAATAAACTTCCATTATATTTAAGTCATTTCTCTCTACTTGGTAGAGGCGGTACAGAAGTATCCCAACTCCCTGTGCAACTTTTGTGTCAGAACTATAAAACCTGGACTGCAAAACTCCGGTTGGGCATTGGATACACATGAATAAACATTTCTAACTTAGCTGCCAACCAATGGTCATCCGTATGTCTACAAACCAGATACGGTAGCTATAGGTTATAATTAAATGCATGTTGTCAATTTGTTGCCAGCTTTGTCTTGTAATCGTTTCTGGAAAAATAACCAGCCAGTACATTCAATAAGCGTGCTTCAATGTGTCCTTAGAACCCTTACTATAGTTTTTACTACAGCTTCCACTCTTAAATCAGAAGGGCTTGATTTAAGTGTAAAATATCATACGAAGTGAAATTGTGACTGTTTTGTTTCCCCAATAAAAACAGCTCATGGGTTGATGCACAGGAGACCTAACACTTCACCCATTCACTTCTACACTTCCTTAAAATAGACTCACGGTTTCTATTTTGTCTGCATTCACAGTGTTTTGCAAATTACTATGAGAACACAATTCCTTTCCATATGCTACAAAAATTATATTTTGTCCATGTCACAGAATATATGAGGCAGCATTCTGCGAGATACGTTTTAATATTGGAGATACATGCTTCTAAGATATTTTCTATGCAAACTGAATATGCCTCTAATAAAAAACTGATGTAACATTACTGATTTAATTTTAATATGTGTTTTATTGATATGTTAGTTACTTTGAAATCTTAGTAACAGGATTGTCAGTAATTGCTTTTTTCAATTTTTGAAAACTCATGCTACATCAGCAATACTATTTAGCCACCTTGAGTTCTATTAACCTCTTTATCTTATGTTGACTTTCACTTTTCTAAGCATGGAGGGCTTCTCTAATGATTCATATTATGAATCCACCTTTAAACTTTAGTTGCCTGATTAGTGCTTCCAGGTAGCAGTCTTATCTTATTCTATCTGATATCAAATGATTTGCTGTTTTTGCTGTCCAAAGTATTTTCAAACCTTGTAATTCAAAGGCGCCAGCTTTTCATTAGCTTTTGGATGATCCAATTTTCACAGCCATATGGGAAAACCATACTCTTGACAATGTTTTTGTCATCTCCGTGGCATCTCTGAACTATTAATATGTTGTATAGATCTGTCATAATTTTTCTCCCAAGAAACAGATGCTTTTAATTTCATGATAAACAGTGAATACCTCAATTTTGGAGCCCAGGAAGATAATCTACATTACAGGTAGTCTTTTACTTATGGCTGTAACTGAGACTGCAATTTCTTTCATAAGTTGTGATAGTCATTGAATTAGTTAGCATGTGACCATGACTGATTTTACAAACTTTTTTTGCAGTGGTCATTAAGCGAACACAGCAGTAGTTAAGCAAACCCATTGTTTGCTATGGGACATTTTTTTGCTGGAAACTGTTAAGTAAAAGCCGGCTTCTAACAAAATTATCATAAATCACGGGCACATGACTATGGGGCACTGCAAAGAGCTATAAATGTGGGGCAGTTGCTGAACACCCAAAATGCAGTCATGTGACCATGGGGAGTGGGGAAGCCATCAGAATTTTGAATCCAGGTCATATGTAGCTTTTTGGAGGTCTGCTATAACTTCAAATAGTTGCTAGGTTAAAGACTATTGTACTGCTACTTCTTCACCCATTTGCATTGGGTTGGCGTTACCAACCTCAGATGTGATAGAAGTATCAATCAACTTGCTGGAAGCAAGAAAGACTTAAATAATCTTTTGATTATTTCTTCTTTCACCTTCAACAAAACAGCTCTTAAGTCTTTCTTGTGTTCAGCAGCCAAAATGGAATTATTTGGATGCATGAGGTTGTAAGTAATGCACAGTATTTCTTTCAACATTTGTAATGCTATTTTTTTCTACCCCAGCATTTCTCTTTATATATCTGTATTTAAGTTAAGTAGGTTAACATATAACTTTGCCACACTCCTTTCTTAATTTTGAACTAATTGGTTGCTCCATATTGCATTCTTACTGTTGCTGATTACCATACAAATTCTGCAGTACATAGAGGTAGCTGGAGCATCTTTAACACTGCCTTACTGAATACTAGAATGCAGCTTGATCTTTTTCAGTTCTTTGACCTCAACTGTTTCCATACCTGCTTACCAACTATAAGCAGTACATTAACAGCATAATTTTTACAAGATTTTAAACTAGGGTTCCCCAAATTGATGAATATTGACTCCATGGGTTATGGGACTATCCAAGGGGTTGTTGCTGTTGTTATTATCTCTAGTACTATTAAAGTAGTCAATTTATTAAATTAAAATAATATTTATTAAATTATTTTCACATAAATGTTTAGGGGTCGATGAACAAATTTCATGAAAGGGTCAATAAGCTGAAAAGTTAGGAGGCTTCTATTCTAAACAATTCTGCTGGCATTTCATCAACTCTTGCAGTTTTGTGGTCAGCAATATTTTGTAGAGCCTATTTTACTACACTTTCCAAAATATTTGGGTCCAGCTTTATGTCTTATCAGCAATTTGAGGGGGTCTTTTTGTATGCCTAAACAGCATCTCTTCTTTACCTTTGTTGATTATCTTCTTTATAATATTGTATTATGTTCATCCCTGTGTAAAACGGTCTCTCATCCTTCTTTACACTATTTAGATATATTTCTCTGCCTCTTCCTACTTTTCTCTGGAATTAGACATTGTAGGGCAAGTTTTCCTCTGTCCCTGTTGTCTTTTGCTGTTTACTTTTCCTTAGCTATTTTAATGGATCAATAGAAAACTATTACACATTTTTCATAAGGCAGAATACTTTTCATTCTTCATCTTTAATGATATAATGAATTTTGGTTCAAAGTTCTTTAGACATTCAATCAAATCTAATTAATTAAGCCTAAACTTTATCTTCATTGCATAATCATATGGAATATTGCTCAAGTCATATCTTGTTAATCTGATAGATATTATTTTTTAAAGTTCAAATTTAAATTTTGCAGGACATCCATAAGTAGATTTGTAGTCAACATTGAACAAAACTCTAGTTTTGCTTGCACAGTATATAATCCATTCAACATCAAACTTGTCCATTCAGCAATGAACAAAATATAAGGTTCTTAATTTATATGATTCTATATCTAGTACAAAATTTGTAAAGTCCTTAAATTTTGAGGGATATCAGGTTGGAGAAGCTAGATTAAAATTTGTTGAACGTATAGTATTAGCATAATGGATGATTTTATATCTACATCCTAATCTATTTTTTGCTAAAATTATGAAGAACTGAAATCTAGTAGTATACAACTCATTTTATCACAATTCTGATAATTAGCTATGCAAATAATAAGAAAAACACTCTTTATTCTTTCATTATATGGCACAACATTTATGTATAAAATCTAGTCAGAATAGAACAAACACGTACCAGCCTTTACAAAATCAAAATCAACAACAGTAATAGATGCCCACTCATAGAACAATTTAGGCTGTTTTACTGAAACAAATGATTTTTAGAAACGTGAAGTAATATGAAAATGAGCAATTTCCTTAAATATCCCGTTCTAAATATCAATACAGGAAAATGACATGATTGGAAACAATGGATACTTCAGCATTTTTTCACTCTGTTTTCTACTCTAGATTACCTGCCAGTTTCTTGTGAAATTCATATTCCTGATTTTTTTTCCACCCTAGCACTTTTTCAATTCAGGCTGCCTACAAATGATATTAACAAATTGAAAAGGAAGGCAAGTTTGATATAAATCAATCACATCAACTAGACCTGTGTGTTGTGAATGTCTTTTCAGTATCATTTGCATAAGAGATAAAATGTATTTATTTTCATATTCTTGAGAGTAGCAGCGTTGCTGGCATAAAATCCATATTTTTATTTTATAATATATATGTAAGGGTTTAGAAAGGTCATAAAATATAACAATTGCCCCAGTTGTAAAGGGCCTGGCTAATCACATAACGAATCTGACACATGGTGACCAGAAGTCCTCGATCTCGGTTGATGAAATTACAAGAATCCGTGGAACCATATTTTCCCTACAAGAAAGCTTCATCGGACCTTTTGTACTTCTTTATTGGTTAAGTCATAAAGTGTCTTTGTAAGAACACCAATATTTGGATGTGTGAATCGAAAGTAAAGATTAATCTCATTCTTGACTACGGTCACAAGATCATAAAGAGGGTATGTCCAGAGCAGTAGAAAGAGGTCTCTAATTCTCCCGTTAGCCTTGAGGTCTGAAACAGACAGCCTTAAAATGAGCTTAGCCAACAGAAGCCATGACAACATCCACAGGAAGTTCTTCTTTACTCCGAGTTGTAACTTGCATTGTCACAATTTCTGTGAGGACAAGGCGAGAACGAACCAAGAGGTCATGACCACCTCGAAATACACCTGTAGCAGATCAAAGACAGGAATATTTTTATCAGCATGTATGGCTGGAACTATATTTCCATTCTTGAAGGAACTGTAGTAAATTACCAGACTAAACACGCTTTTAAAAAGGGAGTTAATTATCCTCCTGCTTTACCATTAAGAATATTTAGTACACTGATGGTGTTTTGGTCAATGGCCAAATGATCTTATAACTGAATTGTGACTTAAAACACTTTGTGATGTTTTATCTCTTCAGTTTTTCCTAAGTGGGATTATAGTGAAAAAGGGGGCAATCCCCTGGTAGAATCTGGGGCAACTATGAACCCTACCCAAGGACCCCCTTCACTATTTTCATTAATCAAACAATGTGAATAGACTCACAGAAATAGTTTAGATCACAGGTCACCAACCTTTCTCAGTTGGCGGACCGGAGGGAAAGGAGGGGGAAACATTTTACATGCGTGCACCCGTATGCACGCGGGACCGCAAGAATGCGTGTGACACAAATGGGGCTTGGCTAGTGCCCATGTGATACTAGCCCTGCCCTGATCTTGTGTGGTACCCTTTTTCGCGCCCCAAGGTGCGGTAGCATCCTGTTTTCACATCCCACTTTCGCAACCCATGGCGCGGTGGTGTACCGTTTTTGCACCCCAAGGTGTGGCAGCAGCCCGTTTTTATGCCCCGAGGTGCGGCGGCATCCCATTTTCACACCCCGAGGTGCATTGTCGTCCCATTTTCATACCCCAAGGCCATGGCGCTAGCGCAAGTGGGGGGTTGTGCGTGCAGACAGGCGCACACTGGCCAGCCTGTCCCGTGGCCCAGAGGCCATGGCCACTCCTGGGCTACGGCCCACAGGTTGGGGACCCCTGGTTTAGATATCATTTACTGATAGAGATCATATTCCACTGGGATCTCTGGCACTAGTGTATTTCTTACAAATATCCACATATACAAGAATAATAAAGCTTGAAGAAAAATTATGATACTGCCTCCACATCTGTGGGACTATTAGGTTGAAATATCTTTTGTACTAGTGAAAGCATGTGCTAAGTTCATATTACCAAGGTAGATTGAATGGCTGCATAGTTCACTGAGAAAAAGGAATGACTTTACATTAAGCTAATATGACACTTAGAACGGATTAAACCAATTAGAAGAATTAGTCTGCTGAAAAGGCACCAGGCTAGAAATTGGGAGACCATGAGTTCTTCTCTTGGCTTAGGCAAGTCACTCTTACTCAGCCTTGGGAAAAAGGCAATGGCAATCTACTTCTGAAATCTTGCCAGGAAAACTGTAGGGATCTGTCCAAGCAGTTGCCAGGAGTCAATACTGATTTAGGCATCCCCCCCCCCCAAAAAACCCCATTAAGATCAGCCAAGAGGGCATACAAAAACTCACCTGCCAGGTACAAGGTATGAGAGTTCTTGTTATCTGGGACTTTATCTGACCGCTCACATGGTTGCATTCCCAGGAATTTCACAATATTGCCCACTGCCTCTGTGGAAATAAAAATATTGGAGCTCATTTTTTTTTGTCCTTTATGCTTGCTTCTGTTCAGTTTGCTTACATAACTAGATTACTGTAGTCCCTCTTCCCAGAGAAAGTAAATGTCATTTTCTCCAAGAAACAAAAAGTAAAGTACAGAGACCAGGTGTCTACGTTTGTAGCCATTCAATAATCCAAAAAATCTGAGTCCTGAGAAAGAGTGAAATTTCAGTGAGAGCTCTTGCAGGCTGGGCCTCACCATCTTCAGTTGTATTAATTTGGTGGAATCAGCAAGAATTTTAAACATCAATTTGTATGAACATCAAAATCAGAGATTCAATTTTCTCTCCCGTCAAAAACAGTCATTTATTCTTTTCAAAGGGCTAGGGAGGAAATTTTCAAGCAGCCTATAATTACTATAATTTTTCAAGCAGTCTATAATTACTGAGATCTTCACTGTGGTTCCTAGAGGTGCTGGTTCTAAAATAATGACTTTTGACCTACTTTTGCAATCATATTGAGATTTGAGATTGAGATTTTATTAAATTTATACCCCGCCCTTCTCCCGGAGGACTCAGGGCGGCTTACAGCCAGTTTAAAACAGTGATACAATACAAAATTTAAAAAGATTAAAAATAACTATTTAAATTTGGCCGCTTCTACTAAAAATTTAATTTAAAACCCCTTTAAAATACCCCTAGGCCAGTCCTGCCTGCTGAAATAACCAGGNCAGGAGCTAGAGCCAACTACTTTAATGTTCTTAGGCACCTTGGTATAAAAGGGATGTTCTTTCGAAGTAGCCTGGAAAACATGAAGAAATAACCAATTCAGTATTTCACAGAAACATTCTTGTGGTTATAAACCTACACACTTAGCTTTCATTTCTAATTAGAGTAAGAACTGATGCCAGTGTTCTAGTATTTCTCCCACTGTCCAGAGCAGTAGAAAGAGGTCTCTAATTCTCCCGTTAGCCTTGGGGTCTGAAACAGACAGCCTTAAAATGAGCTTAGCCAACAGAAGCCATGACAACATCCACAGGAAGTTCTTCTTTACTCCGAGTTGTAACTTGCATTGTCACAATTTCTGTGAGGACAAGGCGAGAACGAACCAAGAGGTCATGACCACCTCGAAATACACCTGTAGCAGATCAAAGACAGGAATACTGTTATCAGCATGTATGGCTGGAACTATATTTCCATTCTTGAAGGAACTGAAGTAAATTACCAAACTAAACACGCTTTTAAAAAGAGAGTTAATTATCCTCCTGCTTTACCATTAAGAATATTTAGTACACTGATGGTGTTTTGGTCAATGGCCAAATGATCTTATAACTCAGTGGTTCTCAACCTTTTTAATGCCGCGACCCCCCAACCGGTCGTAAGTCGAGGACTAAACCGGTCGTAAGTCAAGGACTACCCAACCGGTCGTAAGTCGAGGACTTTCCCTGCCCGGGAGCGCCGCGCATGCGTGGTTCCGCCCCCTGCGCCGGCCGAGGCGTAGCTGGCAAGCGGCAGAGACGGAGCAGGCCAACCACCAGCTGGCCCAGCCCAAGGGAGGTAAGGCACCCGCCGGAAAAGGGGGAAAAATGGCGGACAAAAAAATGGCGGACAGCCTTGCTTGGCGACCCCCGTGAAATGGTCGATTGACCCCAAATGGGGTCGTGACCCATAGGTTGAGAACCACTGTTATAACTGAACTGTCACTTAAAACACTTTGTGATGTTTTATCTCTTCAGCTTTTCCTAAGTGGGATTATAGTGAAAAAGGGGGCAATCCTCTGGCAGAATCTGGGGCAACCATGAACCCTACCCAAGGACCCCCTTCACTATTTTCATTAATCAAACAATGTGAATAGACTCACAGAAATAGTTTAGATCACAGGTCACCAACCTTTCTCAGTTGGCGGACCGGAAGGAAAGGAGGGGGAAACATTTTACATGCGTGCACCCATATGCATGCGGGGCCGCAAGCATGCATGTGACACAAATGGGGCTTGGCTAGCGCCCATGTGATACTAGCCCTGCCCTGATCTTGTGTGGTACCCTTTTTCGCGCCCCAAGGTGTGGTAGCATCCCGTTTTCACATCCCACTTTCGCAACCCATGGCGCGGTGGTGTACCGTTTTTGCACCCCAAGGTGTGGCAGCAGCCCGTTTTTATGCCCCGAGGTGCGGTAGCATCCCATTTTCGCACCCCGAGGTGCACTGTCGTCCCATTTTCATACCCCAAGGCCATGGCGCTAGAGCAAGTGGGGGGTTGTGCGTGCAGACATGCGCACACTGGCCAGCTTGTCCCGTGGCCCAGAGGCCATGGCCACTCCTGGGCTGCGGCCCACAGGTTGGGGACCCCTGGTTTAGATATCATTTACTGATAGAGATCATATTCCACTGGGATCTCTGGCACTAGTGTATTTCTTACAAATATCCACATATACAAGAATAATAAAGCTTGAAGAAAAATTATGATACTGCCTCCACATCTGTGGGACTATTAGGATGAAATATCTTTTGTACTAGTGAAAGCATGTGCTAAGTTCATATTACCAAGGTAGATTGAATGGCTGTATAGTTCACTGAGAAAAAGGAGTGACTTTACATTAAGCTAATATGACACTTAGAATGGATTAAACCAATTAGAAGAATTAGTCTGCTGAAAAGGCACCAGGCTAGAAATTGGAAGACCATGAGTTCTTCTCTTGGCTTAGGCAAGTCACTCTTACTCAGCCTTGGGAAAAAGGCAATGGCAATCTACTTCTGAAATCTTGCCAGGAAAACTGTAGGAATCTGTCCAAGCAGTTGCCAGGAGTCAATACTGATTTAGGCATCCCCCCCCCAAAACCCCATTAAGATCAGCCAAGAGGGCATACAAAAACTTACCTGCCAGGTACAAGGTATGAGAGTTCTTGTTATCTGGGACTTTGTCTGACCGCTCACATGGTTGCATTCCCAGGAATTTCACAATATTGCCCACTGCCTCTGTGGAAATAAAAATATTGGAGCTCATTTTTTTTTGTCCTTTATGCTTGCTTCTGTTCAGTTTGCTTACATAACTAGATTACTGTAGTCCCTCTTCCCAGAGAAAGTAAATGTCATTTTCTCCAAGAAACAAAAACTAAAGTACAGAGACCAGGTGTCTTCGTTTGTAGCCATTCAATAATCCAAACAATCTGAGTCCTGAGAAAGAGTGAAATTTCAGTGAGAGCTTTTGCAGGCTGGGCCTCACCATCTTCAGTTGTATTAATTTGGTGGAATCAGCAAGAATTTTAAACATCAATTTGTATGAACATCAAAATCAGAGATTCAATTTTCTCTCCCGTCAAAAACAGTCATTTATTCTTTTTAAAGGGCTAGGGAGGAAATTTTCAAGCAGCCTATAATTACTATAATTTTTCAAGCAGTCTATAATTACTGAGATCTTCACTGTGGTTTCTAGAGGTGCTGGTTCTAAAATAATGACTTTTGACCTACTTTTGCAATCATATTAACAGACAATGGAATTTTGAACTATCTTTGTAGATTTTTTTCACCCTGCCACTAGCAAATCTTCTTTTCAGACTGTAGCAGAATTCAAAGATTTCCACTGAAAAAGGAATAGGAATGTTTAGTTAATGCTATCCCCAAATACATTTCTATGTGATTATGCCCGGTTTAATTTGAGAAGGCTTCCAAATATTTACAGGAAATCATGTAACAATCCAGTTTACAATATTAACTTTTCTATGGGACAGGAATCAAGAGCTGTGCACTAATGTGTTCTGTTTACCTTACCTTCCAGCGTTTTAACAGTAGACAATGTGAAAGTTTCTTCTTTTTCAAATTCATCACCAACTTCTTCCCAGGCGGCTCCAAAATTTGGTTTCAAAACTCTTTGGATGTGATCTGCTATGGTTACTTCCAGATCTTCTAGCTAATGAAGACATTTGACAGTAAATTACCCTTGAGCTTCTCTGTGACCTCTTTAGAAAACTGACCAGATTTTAAAGCAACAATAATTATTTGAAGATATCTGTTTTTTCTCGCCTGCAATACTGATAGATTTTAAAGTAGAATAGTGGTGTCTGCAGAAGCAACAAGAATCATGTTGAGAAGAACAGCACAGCAATGCGACCTATGCCCACATTCTACAGATACTGTAACACATGTGCCCCAAAAATACAACTTCGCTTTTGTCATTCCGACGAAAGCAATAAAAACCTGTGGGCATTACTAGTAATAGTACTGGGTTTTATTGCTGAGTGGTAGTACAGTAAATTGAGTTTGAAAAGCACTCAGTGGAAAGATCTCCCAAACATTCAAATACTGAACGTTTACAGAGATTTGAATTATAGAATTACAATTTTAATTACTGTATAGTTATAAAATTATATACCCAAAATTATATAGTTATAAAAAGATATTACTCAAAACAAAAACAAAAAAGAACCACTTCTAGTCAGCAGAGATTGGTTTGAAATTAATGGAGCAATGGCTTAGCTCAGCAAAGGCAGTTTCAAATGTTACATTTAAAGTTATCAAAACTGGCTACTTAGTGGAAGTCTGCTGCACGTTCTTTTCTTCTTCTTTTCCTCTCCAAGCATTAAGTGGGAAATATATTTATTTGCAACAATTTCACCCGGCCCCTCACTAAAGGTGGAATTAGAATAGTTTATCTCTCGTGCAGAGTATGGCAGCTTAAGTTTTCATTTCTTTTGAGATAAAGGGTGGGGGAAGAAGCATAAGATATTTTTAATCCATATTGGGAAGTGTTTAATCAAATATAGCAAATGAGGCTCAGGAAGAGGCTTTCAGGGCTTTACAATGTTTGATTTCTACAATGTTCAGACTTTACCTCTTCCCTGTTAGGAATCCCAGAAGTTCAGCATCTGATTACAACATAAGACATTTCAAAAGAAAAAAAAACATACTTTAACCATATTTATTTTTTTAAAAAAAATCTAATTCTTCAGCATTCTGGTGCTAAAGTTTTCATGAATTTGATGATTTGGGTACAAGCTCTAATAAAGGGGAATATTTGTAGCTTAGGGTTGACATGAGGAATTCTTGGTGCTCTCTGAGCTTGCTTGTTTTCTTGCAGACGTTTCATTACCCAAACTAGGTAACATCATCAGTACTAGGAAGGAGTGCACTGATGATGTTACCTTGTTTGGGTAATGAAACGTCGGCAAGAAAACAAGCAAGCTCAGAGAGCACCAAGGACTCCTCAGGTACAAGCTTTAAATCTCTAGAATAAGGAACTTTTCAAAGCCCAACTTCATGCACACACACTAAGCTTGGTTTATGCATTCATTGGAATGGAAATCTGAAACAGCATGGAAAAAGGAAGAGAGGTATGCTTGCTTCCCTGTACATACAATGTTATTGTCAAGGACAGCATTTCACAAACCTTGCAATCATAACACACTGATCAGGAAAAGGACAATTGTTCGGCCCTGGCCATTGTGCATCCAGGCCTTCCCATCTTCTTTCCAAAATAGGCCAACTGATAAGTGTTGTTTTTCCACTGACAATTCAGATTGGTGATAGTTCCTGATCACCATTAAGGTTAAACCAATACACTTAGCAGGCACTTTGACTCTAGACAACTCCAATCAGCTTACATAAAGCTGGATTTTTCTTAAGTCACCTATTTTAATTCATTATGGCTTTGCCAGAATCTGCATAGTCCTGCACTTCCATATGCTGACTGGGAGCAAACCAATACCCGCCTTTCCAATTTAAGAGTTCACAGTGGCAATTCCACTGTACCTAAATCAGAGAAGAAATCAATAGCTTCCAACACAGGAATAAATCTAGTGATCATTATTGCTCTACACTCAGCTTGTAAGTTACATTTTCTGGAAAACATACAATGATGTATTCTTATCTCAGACAAAGAGAGAGAGGGAGAGAGGGAGAGAGAGAGAGAGAGAGAGAGAGAGAGAGAGAGAGAGAGAGAGAGAGAGAGAGAGAGAGAGAGAGAGAGAAATATTAGTTTAACGTGTAGCTTAAGTAACAAGGAATTTCGTTAACAAAAGTATTCTGCTCAAACTATTATATGCAAAGGCAATTGGAATAAGCCGTTTTATTTATGGCTAGCTTAGAGCATATAACCCTGAGGGAGACGTAATGGCCCTCAAGATTATGTCTGCAAAATCAGCTGTCTACCAGCCAAGTCTGTCAGGCAGAGCTCCAGCAAGAAGCTCCAGGGCTGACCCCTGAGCCATCTGGACATGCTGAGACTTATCCACTTATAAGCTCAAAGTCTTCATTAAGCTCATTCTTTGGCCCAGATAAAACCAACTGGTGTGCAAGGTGGAGTCAAGCTATTTTCCAAAGCGCCAGAAGGCAGGACAAGAATAAAAGGTGTGCCTGCAGCCATCATAAGCACGAGTTGGCTGTCAAGAGTCTCAGTTTTGATCATGTGACCTTGGGAAGGCTGCCATAGTTCTAAGTGTGAAATACAGTCATAAGTCATTTTTTTCAGCATTGCTGTAACTATGAAAGCTCACTAAATGAACTGCTGTTAAGTCGAGGACTTCCTGTAAATATTTTATCAGTGGCTCACACTGCACAGTACGTTGACATTGAAGTGGGTTATCACCTGACTGCTTGACAATGGAAAGAGTTGATATAGCCTGCATAGAAGTTCTTTCTTACCACATATTCATCCTCATAGCCCTCTTCCTCAGCTTCACCAGTATTTGGATCACAATCTTTCACAGTGAATTTCATCATGCAGCTGAAAGTGCAAGCCACTGCAAAGAGGACAAAGCAGAGGTCACACAACAGTGAATCCTGGAAGTGAATGTTCTTCCTTGCTTACCACCTAGGCCAGTGATGGCGAACCTTTTAGAGACCGAGTGCCCAAAAACTGCCCCCGCCCCGCTCCACCCCCTGCCCCGCCCCCACTCTGCCCCCACCCCACCTGCCCGCAGGGCCACTCACTGCCTCCAGGGCCCACTGCAGATCGCCCAACAGCGCCATGGAGGCCACGCCCTCTGCCCGCGCCCCGCAGCATCAACTGTGCACGATGGGGTGTGAGGGCAGAGTCTTGTCTACTCTGCTTGGCTGCCATGTCCTTGACTGCACTGCTCCACTTGGGCCACGCTCGGGGGCGACTCTCCTCCAGGGGGGCTGCTGGTGAGGAGGGGGTCACGGGGGAGGCAAGGATGGGGCAATGGCACGTGTACCCACAGAAAGGACTCCGAGTGCCGCCTCTGGCACCCGTTCCATAGGTTTGCCACCACTGACCTAGGCTTATTCTGTTCCCATTTTTTAAAAAAACAAAACAAAACATTGTGCACTGTGAGATTTGCCTATAAAATTATCTATGTTTTCTTTGGAGGCATAATTATCAAACTGCCACCTCTTTTTGCGTATGCAAGTTTGTTTATTGAAAGGTGTGTGCAAATTTGAACAATCTCACTTAAGAGTGAGTTTTCTTTTTCAAAGATTAAGCCTTGATTTTTGAAATGAGTTTTTTTGTTTTAAAATCCCACATTTATTTTGCACCTATAGAAATGAATCTAAGCTATGGCTCCACCCAATGAGCAGATGAAGTAGGGGTGGATAAATTAAAGGAAAAACATAAAATATGGGCACCTGCTGTGGGATCCTCTTCAGGCAAAGCAATCAAGGTGTAGCAAGTACCAGGCTGATTGTACAGCAAGCTTTTGGCTGGTATATAAGCAATGACCTCATATCCCTCCGTTGGCTCCATCTGCACTGTGACATTTTCCAGAATCTGATCATTCAGTGTATTTGTGCAGTCAAACTATCAGAAAAAAGTGAAAGCGTATGAAGAGCATAAAACGAAACTTTCGGCATTAAGAAACCAAGCATTACTTTTTTTTTAAAAAAAAGAGGCAAGCAATGTTTGCCTGCAGTACTGTATACAGTCTGAGCAACTTACTAAATGGTATTTCATGGTTCATACTTTATATACATTCGGCTGAAAATCCTCAGTTTACAAGATCTCTCTAGAAGGCAGTTTCCAGAAGATGCATTTCTTCAGTATAACTAGTAAATGTAAGTGTCCAATCTGAAGTGCATTTATTTCTGAGCAAGTGGCCCAGTGAAGTTTAATAGTATTTTCAGAATGGTGGCTTCTTGGACTATCATGCTTATTACATCCAGTCAGAGCTGAAGAAGCTTCTTGGATGAGAAGCGAAACGTCTTCAAATAAAAACAAAGTCCAGGTGCCTCCTGAAAAACCACCTTTGAGACAACCATGACCTGGATGACTGAGAATCTCCATAGACACATACAATATCATTTCAGAGCCCCCTATATTTATTAGCTTCACTGATCTACATTTGAATAATGATAAAATGATGATAAAATTTTCAGAGGCTTTCGTAGAAACACTGCAGTGGAAGACATTCCACTTTTTGAAGCCTCTCTGTATCACAGAGCTATAAAAAGAACTTCTGCTTGTCAATTGGTTTAATCCTCTAGTCACCGTTTCAATTTATGAAGCTAAAGGAGATCTTCAGACCTCTAGAAAGTGTAATGCTAAACAAGTCCCTTTAGTGAATGTGATCTGAGAATTCATACAATACTGGATTGTATAGTCCCTTTGCTTCGAAACAGCAACAAAGATTGACAGCCTTTGTTTACATTTTTAATTAACTTTACTCCCTTTTGTTAAAATCTGGGTTTAACAACCCTGGACATGCTGAGGAAATAAATCAAGGTTTAAAAATACGATTTATTTTCCTAAACCCTACACTTGTCTTGGATGATTCAAGAAGCCACATTTAGATGAAAACAAAACAGAATTATTTTCAATCTTTCCTTTAGAGTTGCACTGGAGAATTACTGTCAGCCTCAGTTTTATTCCTATAACATTAGCTGGTTGGGCAACGTTACAATCAGAGAATACAAAAGAATACAAAAGTGCAACTAAAATGCACAAAGTATAGCTAAAGAAATAATGTATTGATATTGTACTGAAAGCTATTAGGTATGATACATGTACATATATTCCATCATATCAGTGAGATTAACTATGTGAATGCTTTTTTTCAACACCACCCACCTGGAACACCATATGGTTGGAGAACGTATGCTTTGTACAACGGATCACATATTCTGTTTCCAATTCTGTAAGTGCCTCTGGCTCAGGGGAAGACTTGAACAGTGGCCCAAGTCCCTGGAACTCTGGAATAGCAGCCAATTGCTCTGGAAGAGAGCAAAAAACATCCACGGGTTTCTGTTTAGTGTCATAACTATATTTCTATAGAGTTAAGTGTAAAAGGAGAAAGTTTTCAGATTACATCTACTGGAAAGTTCAATGTAGACTGTTCCGTATGTATAAGCTGTAACTTTTTAAAAAAAAATACAGCATTCCCAGGAAAGTATGTTGAAAGTATGTCTCCAATTATGAGCTGATTTTTCTCAGAGGATTCCTTCTGTGCTAATATCATTATTACATACTCCCAAAGTGGTACATACTATTACTCTGAATATAGTTATTAAAAATTGAAGGTCTAGATTTGGCTCTTTCAAGGAAAGAAAACAATTAGAAAGCAATTGGAGCAGTTATTAAAACGTTTTAGGATTTAAGCAGAGTTTGTTGACTGGAATTTTGTTTGGGGTTATTTGACTTTTCTTTGTTTGAATTATTCTTGACTTATGGCAACTACCTGGACAATTCTGTTTTTCAGAAATGATTTACCTTTGCCTTTTTTCTAGGGTGAGAGAGAATGACTATCCCGAAGTCACCCAGTTGGCTTCATTCTTGAGGCAGGACTATAATTCAAAACCTCCCAGTTTCTAGCCTGGTGTCTTAACCAAGCTGGTTCTATTGTTGGAAATTAGTAACATGGAAAAAAACCCTCCCCCCCCCATGGGCTGAAATCTATATTAAATAAAGAAGTTCCTAACAAAAGAATTTAGGTGGACATTTTAGAAGCTGAGTTGAGTATTTTGTGTCATTCTCCTGCCTTTGAAGTAACCCCCCAAGTACAACATATAAACAGAAGTGCTCAGTTGCAATATGCAAATGTGGTCTGGTTTCTAGAGTGCCGGATAATATCCAGATTCAAATTCCTACTCCAACATGATCTTAGAGCATCCTTCTTCATCCCACACCTTCCAGATCAAGCAAACTACAAGCCCCATCAAATGCAATACTCAAGATGGAAGTTGTAATCCATTGCACCTGGAGAGTTGTAGGTTTGGAAAAAGCTGATTCAAGGCTATGGGTTTAGGTTAATTGCTTTCTCTCAGCCTCAGTTCTCTTATCTGTGAACTTGGAATAAAAACAAATCTTTTTATAAGGTGTGGTAGAAGGGGAAAAAAAAAGTCTCGCAGTTTTACAAGGAATGTAAAGGAATGTAGAACAAAGCAACATCCTGCATTATACTTTGTTTTATACAACAATCAGTGCAAACAAACCTTGGAATATCTCTTGTCGGGTTGTTGCTATTTTCTCCAGCTGCTTTACTGTAGAGGTGGGAGTGTTTTCTGTGGAAGGGCAAGAAAAGCACAATAATAGTACAAAAATGCAGCAAACAGGACTGAAAGATATGCTGTGGTAATTCAAAAGGGATGCAAGTCCACCCACAAGTTTGTTTTTGCAGGCTGTGTAGGAAAAAAAGGGTGGGTGGCAGAAGGAATGTGAGATAACTGGAGCTAGAAACAGGTTCATAACAATAATAATGCAAAAGGTTAATGGTAAAATGTAAATCACTTGCCAACAGAAGGGGAAATGAAATACTTTCAGAAGTTCAATAAAACGAAAGACAAACAGTTCATAATTTCACAGTTGCTACTGCCAAAAATTCCCCTCGAATCCAACCCGAAACATTTCGATAAGGATTAAAAAGGTGGATTCTATGTTAGACCAGGAAAATGGCTTTCCTTTCTCTTACCTGCTCTTTGTTCAATGATGGGGGCAGTTGCCAAGGGAACAGACTTGAGGTCAAAGGGTTTTTCAGAGGGGTCCAGAGTATACTGATGCAGAGCCCTCTCTAGGCCAGGGATAGATACTGTCAATCCTGGAAAAGAGAAAGGTTGAGCCCCCACAAAATGCAAGAAACCAGACAAATCTTTGCTAACTTCTAAATTAGAGCACAGGTAACTCTCTTCTTCTATGATTCTATATCAGTGTTTCTCAACCTTGACAATTTTAAGGCATGTGGACTTCAACTCCCAGAATTCCACAGCCAGCAATGCTGGCTGTGGAATTCTGGGAGTTGAAGTCCACATGCCTTAAAATTGTCAAGGTTGAGAAACACTGTTCTATATGGTTCGTTCTATTGAAAGAGCCTGGGGTTTTACCAGTTGAAAACCCCCACAGCTTAATTTCTTGTACCTATTTCCAAAAGCAATGGCATCTATTTGTTTAGCCTAATGAATGTGTGTATTTCAAGCATATCCTCAAAAGATTACTTCTGGAAACCTCTAATCCCTAGAGGAGAAGCAACATCTGGCATATACATCTGTTTCCATTTAAGGCTCAAAGACATGAGACAAGGGGGCTCTGCCATGCATCACAGTAGAGTCTGCTCAGACAGCTAATGTTACTACCAAAGAGGAGCAGAGCTAGAAATTAGGGTGCCCTCCTCCTTTGCTCTTCATGCTGTGTTAGCCGTGTCTGTTAACCCACAGGCAATCAAAAAGAACCATCAGTGTCATCAACCAAAAGAAGGCTTCCAGCCAGCAGGCATTTGAATTCTGAATGTTGCACTACACCAAAATGTGCCAGCCACTGGGAGATAAGCGGGGATAGGAAATCATGCCTTGTTCCTTTTCCAGCCCTCATCTAAAGAAGAAATTGATGGCTGTGTCTTAAACGTGTAAGTAAAGAACTGAGGCCACTCAGATTATGAAATGAAGGCATTCGCTCTGCTCAATGACTCCCTCAGCATGTAGATCAGCAAAGACATCAGGAATGAGAACGATGGTCACACAACTGAATGCTTATCTCAGCCAACTCAAGCAAAACAACTGTATAAAGGAGAAGAAATGGTGGAAAATGAGAGAAACAGATGCTGCCCCCGTGAGATTTTACAGACTCCCCAAAATACACGAAATAGGAGTCCCCCTCAGACCTATGGTAGTGCTACGAGACATCCCTACCTATAACCTGGCTAAATGGCTGACACAATGCTTACACTCCCTGACCCAGCTCTCGAATAGAACTGACTCCAAAGAGAAACATTCTTGCCTATGGCCTTTTCCCTGCTAGTCACTAATAGTATCTTCTACTGTCTCAGTCATCCTTGGAGCTGGAGGGAGATGAGGAAGACTGGTTCCCTTGGGCCACTGGTTCTCAACCTTTTTAATGCCGCGACCCCCAACTGGTTGTAAGTCGAGGACTAAACCGGTCGTAAGTCGAGGACTAAACTGGCCGTAAGTCGAGGACTACCCAACCGGTCGTAAGTCGAGGACTTTCCCTGCCCGGGAGCGCCGTGCATGCGTGGTTCCGCCCTCTGCGCCGGCCGAGGCGTAGCTGGCAAGCGGCAGAGACGGAGCAGGCCGACCACCAGCTGGCCCAGCCCAAGGGAGGTAAGCCCCCCCCCCGGAAAAGGGGGAAAAAATGGCGGACAGCCTTGCTTGGCGACCCCCATGAAATGGTCGATCGACCCCAAATGGGGTCGCGACCCATAGGTTGAGAACCGCTGCCTTGGGCGGTTGGAATTGTTATTCCATAAAAATCCTTCATTAGCTAGAGTTGTTTGGAGTTGGCCTGGAAATGTAATTAAATAAATAATCAAATCAACAGAGGTGATTTAAGGCTTGCCCTCATCACTGACCCAATAATGGTGGGATGACGAGAAGGTACTATTACTTACTAGTGGGGATATGACCTAATACAAAAAAGTGGACTGGATGCATGCAACATGAAAAGTATTCAAGGTAGTAAATAAAAAGAAAGTTAGGAGTAAATATTTTTTTTTGCATCATTCCATGGTTTGGATAGAGGAAAATACACCAGTGTATGCGTTTCTTTCTAGTCTGAACGTAGGCAATTCATAATTTTATGAAGTTTGAGCAAACTACATCAGATCGCTTTCAGTTCTTAAGCAATTTAAAATTTCTGTTTTCAAATGGGCTTAAAGTTTTATAAAACCTCCATCATGCCAAAATATAGTGATTTATAAATTTTATTATTCTGAGATCAATGTTGTAAACTTGAGGGCATTTAACAATTTTCAACACTGACTTGTTTTATCATGTGTCAAGTTCCAACAATATGAGTGACTTAATTTTTTTAAAAAAGCAATGAATAATGAACTTAGATACCATTCAGAATGTAGCCAGCGTTGAGGGCCTTTTGCTTGTGCTCCAATACACTTAAATAGAAGGTAGCCCTGTCTCTGACTTCGTTGTCATCATCCATCACACACCTGAAGTTTTTTTTATATATATAAAAAAGAGAGTTCTGGTCAATTGGAGGAATGTATATTTCCTGAGACCCCCATCTAGAAGAGGGCTTTTCAACCTTTTAACCCATTGTACCACTTTTAGGATATGGCAATATCCGAGTACCACCAGTCGCCTAGCAAGGTGTCAAAAACTTGATGACCCCCCCAAAAGGAAAAAAGTGATAAAGTACAGGTAGTCCTCGACTTACAACAGTTCGCTTAGTGACTGTTCGAAGTTACAATGGCACTGAAAAAAGTGCCCCCCAAGCCACAGCCGAGCAAGACACCTGCCTGCCCACCCGGCGGCACTCTCATTCCCCTCCCCCGCTACCACTTTTCTAGGATGTTCGCGTACCACCTGCCAGGTGCCAATGTACCACAGGTGGTACCCGTACCACTGGTTGAAAAGCCCTGATCTAGAACATTAAATCAGTGTAACCAATCAGGAAGCAAAACATAACACATTACAATAACAGGGTAAGAATGTGTGCAAATAATTAATTTTGTCTGCTTACATAAAATTGGGAAAAGATACTTGGTAGCTGCAATGTGTTCTGTCCCAGCCTACGTCCGTCCTGGTTGCGTCACAAGAACAAACCCCTCTAACAGTAGGCTGGAAAAACCAACCCCTTTTTATTTCAAAAACAGTCCTGATAAGTTTTCTCCAAAACAAAAACGACAGAATACTTTTCCAACAGATAATTGGTTAAAAAAGCAAACAGAGCAGGAGTTAAACAAGAAATTCATTGGTAAAACAAACAGACCATGATCCCTGGAAGTTCTTTACAAACGGTTGCCTTCAGCAACCAGCACCGCCCACACATTCCCCGTTTGTAATTCAGTCCTCAAGGCGTGGCTACTCAATGCCTTCTCCGGGGCCGCTCCATTGCCTCTCTCTGGTTTATTCTCCTAGCTTGTCTTCGTTTGCGGGCGTCTCTCATTTCCGCCAGCTGTGCATCCTCCGAGTCCGACCCAGCTTCCCCACCCAGCTGCATCTCATCCTGAGCACCAGCGGAAGGGCCAGGCTCCTCACTGGAATGTGAGTCTTGGAGCTCATCAGAGCCTTCCCCCCCCCCCCCGACTCCGATGGCTTCCCAGGCCCCTCCTCCTCCTCCTCAGATTCCCTGGATTCAGCTGTTGAAGCTAGAGGCTTGCAAGCTACAACTGATTCGCACCTGCTAAAGCTGGTCTGATCTCCCTTGGGTGGATGAGTGATTGCAGAGGTGCTGCAGCTGCCATAACTTTGAACCAGGTCATAAGTAGCTTTTGGGGAGTCTGTAGTAACTTTGAATGGTCACTAAGTGACATCATAAATTGAGGACTGCTTGGATTAACATTTTTTTTTAGAAATTATGATCAGATACCTATCACTGGCCATTTAAGACAATTGGAAAATGGCTCAAAAATATGCTCATTGTGCCCCAGTGACTATGGAATCTAATCCTCTTAGAGACTTATTGTAACTTCAGTACAGAACAAATTTTCACTATCTCTACATTTTTACACGGCATGTTTTCATTTTCCAAATTTGCCACGTGGGCAAGTTGCTACGCCCAAAGCTCACCTTTTCAGTAATACTAGGATGCTTGGTAGCATTTCCTCATTCTGAGCCCCAAATTTAGCCAGAGCACTCACTGCACCTGCAAACAAGTGAAAAAAAAGTAGAAGGAGTGATTCATTGGAAAACACAGGGAAGATATTTAGACATCCGTCATTTATTTAGCTTTTTGTATATAATGTTACTGCAGTCAAACACGATTAGGAAAACATTAATTAAAATAGTTCCAGGGTTAAATGGATTTGAGTACTTATCTTTAGGTGGAATTATTTAAAGCATTTGAATATATCCTAGTATCTGATTCCCATTAAGCTCAGTTAGCACTTCTCCCAACACATTGAACTATTTTTTTTACATGTGGACGAAATTCAGAAGAAATTAAGTAAAGTTTCCTTTTAAGAATGTGCTTATTTCAAAATCTTGTCTATAATCTGGTGATCAAAGAGTTCAAATGCTACAACAAATCCAAAAGAGAAAAGCTGTGCCTCAATTTGCTTTGCAAGCCGATGGTCTAATATCCAGTTTCAGGATCTCCAAGCATGAATGTAAAAGATCCTTGCTTGGAGCTACCAGAAAGCTATTAGCAGTTAGAAATGATGATGGTGAAAACAGGTAGACCAATAACCTACCTAAGTTTCCAACATGTCTTATGGCAGGGGTAGTCAACCTTGGCTCTTTTATGACTCGTGGACTTCAACTCCCAGAATTCCTGAGCCAGCTAAGCTGGCTCAGGAATTCTGGGAATTGAAGTCCACGAGTCATAAAAGAGCCAAGGTTGACTACCCCTGTCTTATGGCATGTTTTTTTTTCTAATGTACATACCTGCCCTGACCTCTTCATGTTCCAAGACGACTCTGTTGTAAATGAAACGAATATATTTTGAAGGATTGTTGGTCTTTGGCCCTTCCTGGCCCAGCAAGTGGAGAATTCGGTTGGCCAGGACAGTGAACTCACAGTCCTCAATGAACTCGCACAGGTGGGAGAGGCCGGTTTCCTTGCTTTCAGCATTTTCTTCTATGATACCGATGATACACTCAACAATGGCTCGTTTGTATTCGAAGCCACCCTAAGTAGCAAGGAGAATGGATCAGTATGACAAGAGTAGGCTTTCCTTTCTTACTCGCCAGGTCATTATTTTATAAAGGAGACACACCTAGGCAAGCTCAGACTAAAATCTGTATGAACTCATGTTCTAGGCCAGTGATGGCGAACCTTTTAGAGACTGAGTGCCCAAAAACTGGCCCCACCCCCATTCTACCCCTTGCCCCGCCCCATTCTCCGCCCCGCCTGCCCGCAGGGCCACTCACCGCCTCCAGGGCCCGCCGCAGATCACCCAGCAGTGCCATGGCGGCCATGCCCTCTGCCCCGCCCCTCAGCATCAACTGTGCACGATGGGGCGTGAGAGCAGAGTCTTGTCTACGCTGCCTGGCTGCCATGTCCTTGACTGTGCTGCTTCGCGTGGGCCACACTCAGGGGCGACTCTCCTCCAGGGTGACTGCTGGTGAGAAGGGGGTCACGGGGGAGGCAAGGCTGGGGCAACGGCACGTGTGCCCACAGAGAGGGCTCCGAGTGCTGCCTCTGGCATGCGTGCCATAGCTTCGCCACCACTGTTCTAGGCTCTTTTTCCTATGTGTTGGTCTTATGATAAAAGGACACTGCAAGAATTACATAGAAGACATCTGATCAAGCTACCCTGGGTACTGTGGGTTGATTTGTATTTCTGTCCTTGGAAGAATTTACATTTCTGTCCTACCTTTCTAGAAAGACCCCACACACAGACACACCACGTGAACTCTTTTGTCTGCAAATGACTGGTGAAAAGTAAAAACCTAATTATGCTGTGAAGTCCCAGAAAACTGGCCTGTTAGTACATAAAATTATAGTTCCTAACAAATCTCAGTTACTAATTTTTAACTCAGGTGTAATCAGTACGTATACATTGTGTTTTTCTTTGAACACTCTTTGACCATTTCTTACTCCTCTCTGCTTCATGTCTTTATAAATAGGCACCGATTTATTCTTTTTCTATAGCCTAGGGACTGGCCTTGAGTGTGTACAGATATGCTTATCTGTTTCTTAGGAAAATGAAAGGAAATTTCTGGAAATGGGGCTTAATACTTCAGACATATGCACAAACCCATATGTTCTGGCTGAGATTGTCAATTGTTACTTATCAGAGGATCACTGGCTGGCAGCCTAACTGCCTGTGAAATATACAATGGTGCAGAGGCCACCCAGCTGACTCTACAGCAGGAGTGTCAAATTGCCAACCCGCAGGCCGGATGCATCACGCAGAAGCCGTGCCCACCCCAGCTCTGGCAAGGGGAAAAAAGTTGCAATACGTCACGACACATCATGTGACACGGCAAGTTTGACACCCCTGCTCTACAGTATCAGCAAGAAAATTGACTGAAGGAGAGTGGCTTTTGGTTTCGCTATAACCTTCTGAAATTGAAAACTGCTGTTACAAGGAGTTCTCATTAGGATTTCAAAGCAAGGAAGAAAGGACGGCTCTCGTTTTTCTGCACAGCAAAGAGTCAAGAATAATGACAATATTTCAAGCAGCCAAGCTTACCTCCTCTCGTAGCATTGTGAAGAGGAAATTCATGAGGATTGCATGTTTGCGTGGATATTTTTGACAGAGGGCACTGATAGCCTGAACCACCACAACCTAGACCAAATTGGGAAATTCAACAAGCACTATGAACAGCTGGAATTGACCCCATCAGCCATTCCACCCCACAACATAAACGGGATGAAGGTCTAACATAAAAGATTTTCCATGCCTTGAACTCATCCGAGATTTCAGACATGAAGGAGGAGATCTGCTTCATGAGACGGTCAATGCTACTCTCATTGCCAGTTTTCAGTAGAGTTGTGATGGCCAAAGTAGCAATGCTGCGGTTGGAGTCAGTCACAAGATTCTCCAAGTCAAGGTTACAGGCAGTCACAGCAGATGGATGCTTCATGGCAACCTAATAAAGAGAAAACAAAACAGAATTCACCTCACGCAAATCAGGTGACCTTGACAGCCTTCACATACAA